TGTGTGTGTGTGTGTGTGTGTGTGTGTGTGTGTGTGTGTGTGTGTGTGTGTGTATAGGGATCAGAAGATAACTTTTGGGAATTGGTTTCGTCCTTCCATCACGTGAGTGCCAGGGATTGAACTCGGATACTTGGGCTTGGCTGCAGGCACCTCCTTAGTCATTTTGTTGGCCTTATTCTGTCCTTTTCTTCTTGAATGCATGGTTCTCTAAATCATCATCATCACCATCATCAACAACATCAAAATACATGTAGTGGATTATATGGTAGATGGGTTATATGGTACGAGAGCTTGCTGTTCTTCCAGAGGACCTGAGTTTGGTTCCCAGCACCACATCAAGTGGTTCATAACCATCTGAAACCCAGCTCTAGGGGATCTAATGCTCTCTTCTGGCCTCCATGAGCACTCAGACACATGTGGCATTGAGTGACGCACATACACACCACAGAGAGAGAGAGACTGAGAAAGAGAAAGAATTTCCTTATATGCGTGTGTTGGGCAGAGGGCTGGTGGAGGGCATCTGGATGTAGTACTGACCCTGGCCACTAGAGGGCAGCGACCATTCACATTGCCCTCCCACAAGCTCTAAGGCGCCCCTTAGGTCTGTGGGGCGAAGGCCCCAAAACTTCAAGATATTGCCGCTGCTCCTTGGACCTCAGGTACTTCCCCCTATCGCCCCGCCCCGAAGCCTTGGGCACCTCAGAGTTCAGAAAACCTTTCAGGGTGTCTTTCTGGCTGCACTGGGAATCAGGGTGGGCACTAGGAAAGAATTCTTACTGCAGTGTCCTGCTTCCTTAGCATCTGTCAAGAGTTTATCTGGAGGCAAAGACATCCTCATATTTGGTCCCACGACCGTCTTGTGAATGTGGTGTAACCATCACGTCCATTGGTTAGAGGAAGCGACTGAGGTTCTGAAAGAACAAATTCAAGGGCCTGTTGCCCCCTCAGCCTTGCCATTCTCATGTTCCATGCCCCAAGGCCCTTTATCCCTAGCAGCCTGGATCACCCAGTTACTTCAGTTTCTGAATCCTTCTGAGTGCTGAGACTTACCCCTAAATGCAAGCCTGCCTTTGCCTCGTTTTATTTTCCCTGCCAGTTCCCAGGTGAAAATGGTTGCGTGTGGGAAAGGCGCACACCAGGACAGAGTCAGGGCCGAAGAAGGATGGACCGTGTCATCGTGTAAAGCTCACCAGCACCCGAATCTGCGGCCCTCCCTGCATCTAGATTTCTCACCTTTGGATCTCGGGATGTTTAATGCTTGATTCAGCATAAAAACACACAAGCAAGCAAATCTCTCCAGAAGTAGGTGGTGTGACATCAGCAACCAAGATGGAGAAATCCTCCTGGGGCCTACGATGTGAGTGCTGGGCCTCTACACCTTTCCCCACAGAGGGCCAGAAGACATAACCACTTAACATTCCCCAAGGATTTCCCAGCAGCTGCCCCTGATTCATCGTCATTCTGAGGAGGTTGCTAGGGCCTTCAGAGATGTTCTCTGGGCAGGTCTAGGGAAGGCTGCAGGCTCTGAGAAGGAAGGTACCACAGAGAAGGTACAGACACAGCTTTCTATCCTCCACCCAACTCTCCCAAAGAGGAGGAACTAGAGGGGTCGTAAAGGGTGGTCCTCGAGCCCACGTGGCCTCTGCCTCCATTGCTGTCCTTTCCCTCTGCATCCTCAGGGAGGGAATGAGTGACACCTTCTCTTGCCACCTCAGAACTAAAGTGACCCAAGAATTGATTTTTCCCAGGGGACCTTGGGGACTCCTGGGGATACATCTTTATAGCACGTTAGTATAACAACTTCTAGGCCCAGGAGGATGACCTGAAGACAGATGCGAGGTCACAGGGATTGGTGATCTTTTCTGTAGTCTGGACCACTTTAGGACGTCGGGTGACAGAGACTGAAACCAGAATTCATTGCTACCAGAAGCTAAGCTCTGACTTAACTTAGGGTCTGCCCCACACTTCTGAGAAGTTGCCCAGACTTGGTGAACCACTGAGACCTCAGCTACCCTCAGGTGTAGAGGCTGCCAAACAATGGCCTCTGCGTGTGTGGCCCATGGGGAAAGGCTGTGAACAGTGTTATTATAAAGAAAGAAAATCCCACACGTTCGATTTTACCAGTGAAGACTCAAGAGCCAGATGCTGGGGTAAAAGCCTGCTAGCTCAGAGAGGCAGAAAAAGCACCCAGCTGAACTTCCTCCTCAGCTGATGTCCCAGAAGGAAAAAGCCTTCTCCTTCTCCACGAGTTCTTAAATACCTTCAGCTCAATGCCCCTCCTTTCTGTTTACTCCCTGTCAGCTGGTTGCTTGCTGTGTCTTTTGACCTAAGGTTAACTTTATTTAGCTCTCGGATTAAAGGTGTGTGCCAGGGCTGAGCCACACCACAGCCAGAAACAGCTTTTCCTAGTTCATAATCTCCGGGTTCACAATGGGATCAAATGCCCTGCAACATCACTGATTTCAGCCTGCAAAAGTTCGGGGTGACATCTCCAGCCGTCTCGAAGAGATACCCACTTCGGAGCTAGAGCGATGGTTTGGTCAGTAAAGCACTTGCGTCACAAGCATGAGGACCTGAGCCTGGATCCCCACCATCCAGCCTTTCTAAGTCAGGACATGGCTGTGTGCACCCACGATCCCAGTGCTGGGAGGGGGAGAGCCAGCAGGATCCCTGGGGCTGCTCCAGCTGGAGCTATGGATTTCAGGGTCAGAAGATCCTTCCACTGAAAACAAGGTGAGGGGGCGGGAGAGATGGCTCGGCAGTACAGAGCACCGACGGCTCGTGCGGAGACCCATGTTTGGTTCTTAGCACCTACACGAGGCGGCTCGCAACTGCTTGTAACTATAGTTCCAGGGGCTCCAGTGCCCTCCTCTGGTCTCCATGCTGCCCTGAATTCATGTGTACATACCCTTCTCAAACACACGCACGTGCAAGTCCACAATTTCAAAACGAAACACATGATTTCAAAACAAAACAGTGAAAGTACCACGGGGTGAACGGGGCTTGGGGAACCGTCTGCTGACGCCTGGCTCCCACACACGTGCACACACTCATGCACGTACGCGACCTGGCACAGACACACACAAAGAACGCCTGTATCACCTGGGCTCCGTGGACGTCTACATTTGGAAGCGCTTCCTGTTTCCAGACTTGACTGCCTCCGGGCTTCTCTGGACCTGCCAGGCCAAGTCACAGGTCTCCTCTTGAGCCTACAGCGACCTCTTCTACACTCCGAGGCTGGAATCTGTGGGTGGGAGCAGCCGCATCCTTCTCACCCTGGCTGCAGGGATGACGTCAGCAGGATTACGGGCAGCTCCGAACACTCCTCGCTGCAATTTGAAGCCCACCCTTCCCGCTACATGCTCTGCCCTCGTCTGGAGGTCACAGTCGGTTTTTGCATTCATATACTTACATATATTACATTAAAAACTTATATATTTTTTTTCTCAGGCTACCCTGGAACTCACTGTGTAGCCCAGGATGGCCTCAAATTCATGACCCTCCTGCCTCAGCCTCCTGAGGGCTGTGCAAGCTCCCCCTCCCCGGCTCCTACAGGGGTCTTAGCACTATTGATGACTCTATTGCGTCGCGGTCTTTAGACTCTAAAGTTTAGAGAGTATTAGCTGGGGATTCCCAAGGGCCTTTCTAGGGGGGAGGAGTTTCTGAAGACCCACCATGTACCAGGAACTGTATGGGACAACAAGGCATGTAGGTCTCATTTGAGAGCTGAGGAAACCGAGGCTCAGACATAGATTAGGTGGGTCTTGAAGTTTCTAAGTGATGACTCTACAGCCACCCCGTCCCCCAAGCACAGCCCTTTAGAAGCCTGGTCTAGTAAAGACAATGGCAGCACCTGGCATGGACAGGACCTTCTTCGGCGCAGAGCAAGCCCTCACACAGATGTTCAGTGAAGGCGGGGGGAATTAAATGCAAAGGAATTGAGCGGTGGCATCCACAGATGCTAAAAAAAAGTCATAGAAAAAAAACAACAAAAAAACACAACCCACTGTAGCCTGGGTTAGTGAACCGGGTCACACCGCCGTCCTTCATATTTGTATCGCACGTTTCAGCGTGCCTCGTGGTTTCACTTCCTGGATCTTCCTGGACCCCTGACTTCTCCCCACAATGCAACAGAAGGCTCTGAGCAGAGGGAGGGTTGGGTGCATGGTTGGGCAGGCACGGCTGTGTATCGGTGGGGGTTGTTTATGCCGATGGATGAGCTATGGACCATTGTAACTCCATAGGCTAAGTAATCTCCACTGGAGATTGTTCCCCAGGGCGAGAGACTTGAAGAAGTTCTGGGGTAGAGATACCTCAGCCAGTAAAGCGCTGCAAGCAGGAAGACCCAGAACCTTTTTTTTTTTTAAGTTTGGCGAGTGGATTACCCCTTGTAATCCTGATGTTGAAGAGACAGAGGCAGGAGGATCTCTGGGGATAGACAGGCAGACATCTTTGTGGACTCAGCCAGTTCCAGGTCAGAGGGAGACCCTGTTGAAAAAAAAAAAAAAAGCACCATCCAAAGTCAGTCTCTGGCCTCCATATGCGTGAGCGCGCGCGCGCACACACACACACACACACACACAAATGTACAAGGCCTAGGGTGATCTTCCTGATAGGTGCCCTCACTCACTGACAAGTATCCTACGGCTACTTGTGGTTATCTTATTCCTGTGACCTCCCTGTAGCTTTGAGGTAATGTCCCTGCCTTTCTTCCTTCATCCCCCACCCTACTTCTCTCACGGAGAGATCTCACTTACGCTATGTCAGACCCAAACTCTCCACCGTCCTGCCTCAGGCACTCAGTGCTGGCGTTCTGGTCACTGTCCTACTCAGGCCTACTGGATAAACATTGTACCAGGAAGGTGGGCATACTTTGGTGAACAAAAGACACCATCCTTTCTTTTTACCGGGGCGAGAACCAACTGTGCCATGGAGGGAGCAGGCAAACTGGTGTAGGATTGGCCAGGGGACCCAAAAGCACCTGTCTGCAGGAATAGTGCTCGGGAAAAGAGACCCAAGGGGGCACTCAGAGAGCCAACTGGCTACAAACTGCAAGTAGACGTGCCATATCCCAAAGTCCCCTTGCTAAAACAATTCTTTTGTTTTTTTTTGTTTTTTTTTTTTTCCTGTTACTGGTTTTTATTTTTATTTTTTATTTTTTTGAGACAGGGTCTCACTATACAGTCCAAGCAGCCTTGGGGTGCAGCAATCCTCTCGCCTCCGCCTCCCAAGTACTGGGACTACGGCTGCGAGCCACCGTGCAGTTGTTTTTAAATTAAAGGGACAGGTACCTGACTGTACAGCAATGTATACATGAAAAAAAATTAACTGAAAAGGCAGGCAAGGCCGCGCACAGTCGCCGACAAGTCTACACGAACAGACCCGCGCTTGCCGACTCTGGATGTGGTGAGGTCTGGCTTCTCCCTCCTGCCAAGAGGACAGACCTGAGTTAGGTAAATCCAAGGAAAGATGGCTATTTTTTTTAAAGATTTTTTTTTTTTAATTTTTTACTGTTTTGTTTGTTTGTTTGTTTTGACAGGGTTTCACTCTGTAAGCCAAACTGGCTTCAGATGCACACACAGCCGTCCTCCTGACTCAATGTCCCAAGTGCGGGGGAAGGAGGTTGCAGGTATAAGCTATCACACCAGGCTAAGACATTAAAAAAAAAAATCATACTAGGATCATCCAAAATGTTTTTTTAAACAAACTACTTTCTGATTTAAACAGACCACTTTCAATTCAGTGCGTAATTAATTTTTGTTCTTTGCAGTCAGCTGTGTTTCCAGGGAAAGACTTCTGGGCTGACGAAGGCACCACCAGTTGAAGGCTGATGTTTTATTATAAGGCAATAGTGGGGCAGGGGGGTGCCAGCGCAGGGTGGGGTCAGCTCCACCGAGGCTCAAGAAACATCCAGAAATTTTCCAGTTCTGTGGGGGGCTAAAGGGAGCAGGTAGGATCTGAGAGGTCCAAACTGTGTTCCCAGGTGTCTTTGAGGGCCCTAGCCTCACACAGGTGGCACAGCCAGCGAGCGAGATGGTGGCCAGCTATGAGAACTACCTGCCATCACCACCCAAACAGAGGCAGCATTTGGTACTTTGTTTTTCTCTCATCTCTGATTCTGCTGGAAAAACACGCACAGCCATGGGTCAGATGGCCCCAGCCCAGCCAGCACCTGCGTTGAGAAGGGCCGGAAGTCAAGCTAGAGCGGAGGAGGAACCATTCTGTGCTTAAACCAGGGCCCCGAGGGACCTGTCTGGATTCCCCCAGTGGGAAGTGGGGTATGTGCCCACCCAAGGGCCCTGAGCTGCATTCTGCTGAAAGCAGGCTGGTCCCAGCCCTGTCACCAAGCGAGCGCTTCCAACCTTGTGATAAATGGGAAGTGCAGATCTTCTAATGGAGTCCAGTCTGGGGTTCTGTCCCCCAAGTCCCTTCGTTCCTCCTTCCTTTCCGTTTAATTGCTGCCCAGCCCAATGAGGGAGGGAGGCAGCCTCTGAAGCAGATGGATCTTTGGATCTTGAGACCCGGGCTGTGACTCTTGGCCAGCTTTTCTGACCTTGCTGGCCTTTGCTCAGCTGAGACCACTCCTACGTTTAACTCGTTTAACTCGTATCGCCTAGATGAGGACTGGGCTCCACAAAAGTTTGGGAGCACTGGAGAGCTGTTCAGCCTTTGTTTGTTGTACTCAGCAGCAACTTTTGGTTTGTGCTCTGTTTCCTACTCTATACAAACTTCACATGTTTTAGAATTCATAGAATGACAAATAGCAAAGTAACCAAACACAATTGCTTTATGCGACATTAAAAAGCAAACCAAAGCTGGGTGGTGGTGGTGATGGCTGCAGACTTTTAGTCCCAGCACTCGTGAGGCAGAGGCAGGTGAGTTCGAGGCCAGCCTCGTCTACAGAGTGAGTTCCAGGACAGCCAGGGCTACACAGAGACACCGTGTCTCAAAAAATCAAAACCAAAACAATCAAAACAGCTGTGGTGGCACTCACCTTTCATTCTAGCACTCAGGAATAAGAAGCAGCTGGATTTCTATGAGTTCAAGGCCAATCTGGTCTACAGATAGAATTCCCGGCTAGCCAGGAATATATAATGAGACCTCAATACATACATATATAAATATAAATATAAATATAAATATAAATATAAATATAAATATATATATATATATATATATATATATATATATATATATATATATAAAGAGGCTGGGGAGATGCCTTAGTTAGTAAAATACTGGCCACATAAACACAAAGATTTTCATTCAGTTCCCAAAACACATGTGCAAAACCCTGGCATGGCAGTGCACACTTACGACCCCATTGCTGGGGAGGCAGAGACAGCAGATGCTTGGGGCTGGGTGACCAGCTAGGCTACCCTAATCTAGGTCAGTCAGGGGCCTTGTCACACAAATTCATGAAGCATTCCATAGTTTTCTGTGTGAGAAATACCCAGTATCTGGCTCAGTCCCCTTCCTTCTTCTTCTTCTTCTTTTTTTTTCTTCACATAGTTCTCAATATATTGCCAAGGCTGCCCTTGAACTCAAGATCCTTCCTCAGCCTGGGTAACTGGGACCAACAGGCATGTACCATCATGGCTTGCGCCAGTCTGATGGGATTTATGGTTCCCATGTTACAGACACAGCAACTGAAGTCTGAGATGGTCCTCACACTCACTATAATGGCCTAGCTAGGTTTCCACTGCCTTATGTCAGTTCTGTGTCAGACCAGGGACCCACAAGACAAACAGAGTGATACCCTGAAAGCTCCTAAACCAGAAAAAAAAAAAAAAACACCCTAAGGAGCACTCCTCTCTCAAAACCAAGTTACTGGGCTGTGAAGGTGTTCCCTGAAGGGGGTGCCTTCTCCCAAATGATTTGTTGTCGACAAACATGTCAACAAACAGCAGGAAATCCCTGCTGCTGACCATGTGATAGTCAAGGCCTCCCCTGAACTAGGGCAGCCCCGAACAGGGGAGATCCTGCTTAGAGGAGAAATTAAGGCTGGCTGCCTGGTCCCTGGTGGAGGCAGGGGACAGAATTAGCCCTGGTATGCAAAACAGCAGGAAAGCCAGGGCTCCAGCTCAGTGAAGGCAGATGACAAAACAAGCTGGTTCCCTCTAGCAGCCCAGACCAGAGGGGATCAGCCCACCTCAACCGTCCTGGCCCAGAGGTCTGATTCCCTTTGTGTCGGGAACTCTGTCTTGGAAACCCAGGCTGTGTGCCTTACCCACCTGTCCCGCCCAGAATTCCAGGCCTGTCTCAGTCTTTCCCACGCTCTGGCAGCTGCCCAGGGTAGAGGGTGCGAGGCAGCAATGGCAGAGGCGTGTTATGGGTCCCACCAAGGCCAGCAGAGATTAGAACACCGCAGCAGGGTTGGGAGAAGAGCTTGGCTTATGCAGGCAACTGCCCCTGGCTTCCCAGAGGCCATGGGGGGGGGGGGGCAGTTAGGGAGGCTTCCTGCTTTCTTTTCCTATGATATTGGGATCACCCTGACCCAAAGCCCCCAACATTCACCATTCAAATACCCCTTAGGAATCTTAGAATCTTCTCTCTCTCTCTCTTCTCTCTTCTCTCTCTCTCTCTCCATAGCCCTGGTTGCCTGGTTGTCCTGAAACTCACTATATAGACCAGGCTGGCCTTGAACTCACAGAGATCTACCAGCCTCTGCCTTTCAAGTTACACTCAGTGGGAATGTGTCTCCTCTCTCTCTGTGTCTCTGTCTCTCTCTGTCTCTGTCTCCCTCTCTCAGTGGTTCAGTGAGAAGCAGGTGAGTAACACTGTTCAGCAGAAGGACAGTTGGATGCTCTTTCTCCAGCAAGTGATCTGGGGTAGAGATGATGGGGACGTGACTGCAGACCCCACCTGGGCCTTCAGAGAGAAAGGTGGAGTGACCAGAGCAGTCACGCCCTCCCACAGGTCCGTAAGCCCACGGGTGCAAAACTCAAGACGCCACCGTAGCTCACGGAGCCACACCCACCCTCCCAGTTCTGAGAGATGGATGTCACGAATGCCCCCGGCGTCAGACACATTGTTTATTCCACAGGAGGACTATTATCATTCTACGTAGGCTGGGCGATCCCTGGGATGGGAGAAAGAAATGGCATCTGGCCTTCAGGTGCCAGTGAGAACCATGGTCCTTCCTGGACTCTTCAGGAAGTCGGTCTGCTCTGAGTCCGTTTGCAGTTTTTGACAAGTCCCTGCTTTCCTGTCCCAAACATGGAGACAGATCCGGCATGGCGCTTCCAGAAGCCTTAGGCCCAGTCTATCCAGAGAACTCCCCACTCCACATCACTGCCCTATTGTCCTTCTACCCTAGGCCCTTCAGCAAGAGCTGGGGACCACGGAATAGAGAGAGGTGGCAGATAGTCTAGCTTCAGACGCTGGCTGGGGATCCAGAAAGGAGGGGATGGGCTGTGAGCCAGGCAGTTTGAGGCTCAGGATCTGGGCAAGGATGACAGTGGCCCTCACTCCTGGCCTGGGTGCTCTCCCACAGACCACTTCACCTCCCCTGTCCGAAGAGTCACTATGTCTTCATAGGTGGCTGTCTGGTCAATGTTCAAGCCCTAGAAATAGGAATTGGAGCTCAGGCGTGGGCCATGTTCTAACCACGACAACAGGGGGTGACCATTGCAGCTCAGTGCTGCTAAGTAACCCTGTCCCTTACCTCGTAGGTGTGATCTTCCTCCATCCCGGCTTTGCTGTCATCCTGCAGGAGTGTGGGGATGAAGATGGGATGTGAGGGGAAAGAATGCAGTTTAGGGTGTTAGAGTCCTCCAACCCTGTCCCCAGGGATGTGGGTCTGGGGTGGGGAGAGGAGGAAGGAGTCTCCAAGATGGAATGGAGTGACCACACGAACGATGAGCCGGTGGACAGGGCTAAGGCTGGGCTTGCTCATGAGAGCATCCACTGAGTCTGAGAAGATGGAGACCCTGCCCATGCCTTGTCTGCCCTGGGCCCACCTCTCAGCCTTCCCAAGAATCCCCAGCCCCTGTGGCACCTTGTCTAGTAGCAAGAAGATGGGTACAATGATGAAGATGATGATGAGGAGGGTCTGGATCATGATGATGCCATCTTTCAGTGTGTTCCGCTGCTTCAGTTGGCTCCAGGTGCTGAATCCTGGGGTAGAGGGACAGGGCATAAGGCTGGAGCTGAAGCTTAAATACGATGGCTCTCTTTGGGCACCTTCAGGCCCTCCCCCGCAGCAGCCCTACTGGAGGCTGTAGGGCCATAGCCACCTCCCCTGGTAGGCAGGCTGGGCTGGGGAGGAGGGCTGGCTGGCTACACGAACACAAGTCTACCTGGCACACACCTAAGACTCGAAGTTCCGTGCCACAGCCTTGGGCAAGTGCAAAGTTGGCGCTGTTGCATTCCTGCTTGCAGAAGTAGATCCCGTTATCCTCAAACTGGATGTTATGAATGGTGAGGATGTGGGCAGAGCCATTCTTGGTCTGTGAGATATGCCCCTCTTTTGGGAGTTCCTGGGGCTCCTGGCTCTTCTGCTCTCGGAACCAGGTCATGGCGCCGGGGTGGTCTGTATAGCAGTAAAACCTCACGATGGAGCCCCGCTTTTTGGCTATGAACCTGGGGTGCTGCCAGATCTGGGAGCAAGAGCTTCCTGTGGACATCAAGGCAAGGTCTGAGATCCAGCTCAGCATCTTCCCGTTTGCCAACCTGGCCCACTGTGGAAGACGCTGTCCCGGTTAGCCTGCATCACGTCTTGAGCGTCAGTCAGAAAGCAGAGGTGTGGGAAAGAAAGCGGTGTGAGAGGCCACATACCAAGCCATTGTCCCACACCTCTTCCTGACCAAAACTCTGTCCGCTTGCCTCTCCTTAAGAAGGATTCTGGAACCTTCCCATTGCTTTCATGTCCACTGGAACAGCTAGATCCAACCCTCATCTGCAGGGCAGCTTCTTTTGGACGTGGCTGGGTACTTCACCTCTTTCCTCTGGGCTTTCCTCACCGTCCCCAGATTCTCCAGGGATCCCCACTGTCACCAGTGTGGTAAAGGTTGAATCATCCCCCCCTTACTCGTCCACACTGCTCACGGACTCACTCCTCGCTGTGTTCTGGCCTGAGAGGTTTGCTGGGTCTCCAGCTACACAGACCCAGGCCTAGGGCCTTGTGGAATCCCCCCTAGCTGTCCTGCTCTGATCCCCAACCCCCGGCTTAGTTCTGGCCCTTAGTGGTCAGGCTGGAGCATGTTACCCTAGTGAGGGTGACAGCTGTTCCTACTTACACTTAAGAGAATGTGAGTATGGGCGCTCTAGATAGAAGGCTCCAGGCAAAGGCAGGGAAGGACAGTGGCTAGTGTCGAATGGATACACATTTGTCCCGGAAGGGTGAGTGGGAGGCAACTCACCTTGGAAATTCTGTGACAGGCCACTGTTTGTCACTGCTGGTACTGGCTCACCTGGAGGGTGGGAGGAAGTGGGCAGGGCTAGGTCAGGCCTCTCTACCCTCAGTTGGTCGCCCCACCCTTTCCCCCTCCACATTTCCAGAGCTACTTCCTCCTTACAGGACTATAGCTTCAAGCCTCTTTGGTTCTCCCTGTCCCTGTAGTAGAGAGGCAAAAGTAAGGTAGGGTACACTAGAAACCCCACACCCAGATCCCCCTTTGCCTTTCACCCTCAGGCTGGCCTGGATCTGTGTGGAAATGAGAAGGACGAAGGACTTTGCCTGTCTTTCAGGCAGAGAGAGGACCATTCCCGAAACATACTATCTTTCAGGATAAGGGGGACCAGCCTTTCCAGTGCGGTGCCCTCAGGGCTTAGCTGGAAGCCACACGCAGGCCCCTCTTCCTCCCGGGCCTGGCTCTCTTGGGTCATAGCTGCCAACAAGATTAGGCCCTTGTACAGAGCTCAACCTGTTACCCTCTAAGCTGGAGAGGGGCTGGGACCTCAGGCCCGAGTCCTACTCTTAAGACCTAAAATCTGGGCACCGGAGTCAGAGGGAGACAGACGAGAAGCAGAAAGCAAAATGCAGGAGGCTGAGTGAACAAGAGACTGAGCCGAGACACAGAATGGAGCCAAGAGGCCCGTCTCAAAGCCAGCAGTCACATAAGCCATACCTGAGAAAAGCAGCAGCAGGAATAGTAGCCAGTGGCAGGGCACGGAAGAGGGCACCAGTGTGGCCATGGTCACTGCTCCGTCGCTGAGTCCAAGAAGGTTTTTGGGCGAAACATGTAACTGTATGTCAGCCTGCACTGCAGCCTGCCTCCTCTCCGCCTCTTCCCCATTAGGCCCCTTCCTGCCATGCAAATTGAGACCCAGGGGAGGCACCATTCCTCCAGGGACTCTAGGGGAGGGCAGCCTCATCAGCTGGCCTGCTAGGACATGGAAGGTGGCCAGCTTAGGGTTCTTGATAAAAACCCTCGGAAGGGGTCTCCTGAATCTACTAGGAACAGCCTGTGTTTCTTCCTCCTTCTGTCCCACTGCGGGTTGTGGTTCTCAACCTGTGGGTCACAAGCATTAAAAAACATGTATTTCTGATGGTCTTAAGAATCCCCAACCATAGCTTTATTCTCATTGCTGCTTCATAACTGAAAATTTGCTACCGAACGGTGTCTCAGTTTCCAAGACCATCAGAAGTTGACTCTGTGGGAAGGGAGCCACAGAGGTTCTTGTGTAAAAGTATGCCAGCTGAAAGAAAAAGATACAGCCTAGAGCTGGGCACTGTGGCACACGCCTGTAATCTCAGCACTCGGGAAGGCAGAGGCAGGCAGATCTCTGTGAGTTCGAAGCTAGCCTGGTTCACAAAGAGAGTCAGCCAAGGATTACACAAAGAAATCTTGTCTCAAAAAACAAAAGAAAAAAAAAAAAAAAAGAAAGAAACAGTTTAGAACCAGCAGGTGGTGGCTTATGCCTTTAACCCCAGCACTTGGGAGGTAGAGGCAGGCATGTCTTTTGAGTTCAAGGCCAGCCTGGTCTACGGAGTGAGTTCCAGGACAGCCAAAGCTACACAGAGAAACCTGTCTCTGGAAAAAAAAAAAAAAAAGATCCAGCCTAGGCCCTTGATACGGCCCTCCTCTCTTTGTATAAGAGTCTGCTGTGGGTTGCCAACGGGGCTAGACTTCAGTAGAAACCATTAGGGAAAACCCGCCACTTAACCATCACAGGTGAAGGGGCTTTTCCAGGGAATTCTATGGGATTCTGAGGTCACTCGAGGGCTGACTCTAGGGGTCCTGAGATAGGAAGGCCTCTGAGTCTAATGAGTAGGCGCTTTGGCTCTATCTTGACAGCTGGCATGACCATAGAAGGGGCTACAGCATTTAGGGGTTCTTTTGAACTTAGCCTGTGTCCTTGCTCCAGCGTCTGCCCAACCCCTGAAACCTCAAGTGAAACCTCAACCTTGTTCAGGGTGCAACCCACACAGCTACACATGGTAGTTGCACATACACAGTGAAGATGCTAACCTGCAGTCCAGCCCCCCCCCCTTTTTTAAAGTAATTTATTTATTGTTATTTTATGTGCATTGATGTTTTGTCTTCATGCATGTGTGATGGTGCCGGATCTTGGAGTTACAGACAGTTGTGAGCTGCCATGTGGGTGCTGGGAATTGAACCCGGGTCCTCTGGAAGAACCAGTGCTCTTAACCACTGAACCATGTCTCCAGCCATCCCCTCTTTGAGGCTTATATCCCCTTCAAGTAGTGTTTTCCTGTCTTGTCTCCTGAACCCCAGGAAAGACAGACAGATGTTAAATCTTCAGTTGCCTCTGTTCCTATCTCACTGTCTCCACAGCCCACAGGCAGCCTGTGTGGCTGACAGGGTAGCCCAGATTTGGAGAGTAGCAGCCCTCCTCTTCCCAAAGCAGGGATGAAGTTGTGAGGGTCTGGGCATCCTTACCTCTGACCTGAGCCTGTACCTCACATGCTGGGCTATGGAAATTGGGGATAAGAGGGTTAAATTTTTATCTGAGAAACAGTTCATTCTGGGCAGTCCCAGATGTTTTTGATTCTTTCCAGATGTTCCCAAGAGGGGGCAAAAACATTTCTCTGAAGAGGTATCAGATGTCCAGCTCACAGGAGAAATGGCAGTGGAAAGAGAATGTCACCTCAGGTCGGCACGGGGATCATAGGCCATGCCTGGCAGCGAGACGAAGTCTGAGGTCCCTCCTCTCAAGAGACTCGACTCTTTGGAGGCTCTAGTGATGGAAGTTTCTTGGTTGGCTTTGGGACTAGGGAACCTCAAAGTTAATAGCAAAGTTTTCAGGGGTCACGCATGTGCCACCTGTGTGGGGGCATTGGAGGTTGTTCTGGGGCTCAGGTGGGAGGGTGCAGATGTGCCCTTTGAGCTTCATTCCCATTCATGCCAGGCAGGGTGGCAATGGGGCCCCACATCACTGCAGGGTTATTTGTCACAGTTGGGGCCATGCTGTTCCCTTGCTAGTGACCGCATCATTAAGCCTTATCCTGGGCTTGTGACGCCCATTCCTTCCCGGAACAGGAGGCCTTGTAACCCACCCCCGCCTCTGCCCTGGGTTGTCCTAGCTACGTACCCCAACATCTGGCAACCTCCCTCCTCCCTTTTCCAGGAAGGTAGCATCAAAACAAGACATGGAAGACAGGAGAGGGACAGGGCACTCAGGAGTACAGGAGGAAGTCAGGGACTCCAGGATGGGAGCAGTTAGGAAGAGTTCAAACCTCTCTCTCTTGCCTGGGTCTCCTGGACCTGCACAGCTTAGTGACCAGGAGGAGGAGGGGCTGGCAAAGGAGTGGGGACTCAGGTTCAACCCCAGGCGTGCTAGCTGAAGCCTCCCTGGGTGACCCCTGGTTCTCAACAGGTCCCTCACCTGGAAGCACTTAGCAATGTGCTTGGGCAACCGAGACAGTCACCGTGGGCGCCCCTGGTCCTCTAAGGCTCTGGACAAGATGGGCAGTGGCCCCCGAAGCAGCTTCCCAGCCCGATCTGCCAGCAGCACCAGGGAAAGGGCATCCAGTCCTAACCTCTGTGAGATCAAGCCTTTTCCTCTGTATGAAACAGAAACAATCCCAGTCGCCAGCTTTCCATTGGGTGGCCCTGCCCACCGGAAGCTACCCCGAGTCCTTGGCTGTGTGCAATCACCACACCCCGGGATGGATGGTAACTGTGAGGGTAGAGTGGAAAGAGAGAATTTTGAGACATGAGCCTGTTGCCTACACTCCCATGAGGTGTTTCTCTTTTCTTCTCCTGCCAGTCAGATCCAGGACAGATGAGCTGGGGTACCCAGCAATCCTCTGTCCTTGAGGCTGGGGGGACCCACTGAAGTTCTGGAGAAATAAGTGAGAAGAGACCTCTTCCCCCAGGGAGGAGGTGCAGGAAAGGGCACTCAAACCTCGTGCAGTGGGTGGAACCCAAGCTTGGGGGAGTTCTAGCTGAGAGCCCGGAACTGCCAGGTGTGGTGGCACACGCCTGTAATCCTAGTGCTCCAGGAGGCAGAGGCAGGAGGATCTCTGTGAGTGCAGGCCACCCTGGTCTACAAAGCGAGTCCAGGACAGCCAAGGCTACAGAGAAACCCTGTCTCGGAAAACAAAGCAAAACAAAATATACTTCTACATAAAATGAAATGACAGCCCATCCATGGGGTACTCGGGCTGAGCTTGCTTTGTAAGAAATGGTCTCTGCTGTGCACAGGTCATGTAGTCCCAGGGGTGGGGGTCAGTCAGAGGGCAGTCCTGAGAGAACAGCACCTTTGAGCAGGAGGGAATGCCAGTCAACAAACCCCACAAGTGCCTTGATGTCTGGCTGAGGGGAATCTGGAGACTACAGATGCAGGCCCCAAAATATTTTCGGGGTCAGCCTGTTAGAAGAGGAGGAGCATGAGGGCAAGGCTCCCAGAGGCTCTTGCATCATCCTTGATTGTCACCATCTCTGGATTACCCTTCTTGCCTCTCAACCCTCACCCATGTGGAGGTGCAGAAGGAGACCACATCTCAGAGGCATCAGGGGAGGGTTTATTGTAAGGAGTGTACAAAGAAGCTTGTCCGACAGCCTGGCTTCAGGCTGGTTCCCACCTAGGCAAGGTGGGTGCAGGGCTCACTGGGCAGAGGAGGGGTCCACGGGCAGCGACGGCATACCCTGCTCGAGGCTCTTTTTCTGCAGTGATTCAGGCAGTTGGAGGAGAACGTCAGACGTAATAGATTCCTGAGGCTCTGAGGGCCACGCCAGGCTGGGCCCATGTCAGAAAGGTACGGGAGCTGGGTTCTGGGCAGGGGACTAAGACTCCCGCTTGGCAAACCTTCAAAAAAAGTCAGCCACCACAGGAAGGAAGCCTCAGCTCCTACAAAAGAGACCCGGGCAGGAGGCACGGACTGGGGGCAAGACCATTGGTGTGAGGACAGGAAACAGAGAGAGGGAAAGAGAGACGCTCAGAGGAGGGAGCCAGAGGGACAACCAGGTGAGGCGGGGAGGGCTGAGGGCAAGCAAGGAGACTGGCCATGGTGAGCACACATGTGAACACGTGTGTGCGCGTGGCATCTTGTTTTGAAAGTTTTGCTGCCTCCTGAGTTTTAGCCAAACTGTTTATGAGAAGCAAGAAGAAAAAGAAAGAAGGAATTTAGGCAAAGAGGGGACTCAAAGCTTAGATATATGTTCATTCTTATTTACAGTCTTACCAAACACACTCTCCTGCATTTGGAGATACTTAGATGACCAAACCTGCAGAGAGGACACAGTGTTTATTTCCCTCCTCTCTACTCTCTCTCTCTCTCTCTCTCTCTCTCTCTGTCACACAGACACAAACATTCACAGACACATGCCTACCTGCAGACACAGTGGCTCACATACATACAGTTGTGCACAAACACATGAACTCAGGCTCACAAGCAGGTGTACAAACACACAGACGCACAGGCACACACATACACATGACTGGATCCAGAGACCCCTGAGCAGGACCCCCACTCCCTCTTCCAAGCCTGGTCTCTGTTCTCTTAGAGCTGGCAGAGTTGGGTACAGTCAGGTCTTGGTGAGCAGAGCTGAAGAAAGTGGTTTTCTTCTGGGTGGTGACGCACACCTTGAATCCCAGCCTTTGGGAGGCAGAGGCAGACGGATCTCTGAGTTTGAGGCCAGCCTGGTCTATAGAGCTAGTTCCAGGAAAGCCAGGGCTACACAGAGAAACCCTGTCTCAGGAAGAAAAAAAAAGTGGCTTTCCAGGAAGCAGGAAGATTGGAGCCAAGCCTGCTGAGCCTTCTTGACCTCATGCCCCAGCAACA